CATTTATAAATGAAATGGTATATGCCAAATATGCTAAATATTAAAGTTAATCTTATTGATGAAATTTCTCATTGCTAAATTTCAAATATATTAGTTGAAAAGAAACCGATGAAATCAAAGATCAATTTACATTGTAAAAATAAAAAAAAAAAAAAATAGTGTGACAATTTCGAAAAAATATTTAATTAAAATCATCATCATTATCATATCTAATAAATGTTGTTGTTTTTCTTTTTTCAATTTTTGATATTCATTTCCTACTAAAACTTAGTTTTTTCTTTTTTTTTTCTCCCAAATTACTAATTTATCTCTTTTTTCTTTCCCCCCAATTAAAACAAATAATATCATAGAAATTGCTTAAGATATTAATGAAATTAAAAATTTATTTTACACAATTAAACATCCAATTTTTGCAATCTTTTCATTTCAATTTATTAAAAATTAAAAATAAATTTGAAATTTGAAATTATTTTATTGTAAAGATCAGAAATTAAATTATAATTTACATATATTATTCCCATTCCCATTATCAAAATACGCTACCGCTATTGCATATCCGGAAACATTCATATCACTCATTCCGCATACCATCTGCCCTATCTTTCGCCTCTTCCACTATGTAAATGGGATACGGTCCGTTGAACATCAAAAAAAAAAAAAAAAAGAAAAAACCCTTCAAAGCCAAAGTGAACGTTTCCTGCTATACAGAAAGCATGTAAAAATGAATAAAAAAAACATATATATGCATGTACGTAGGCGGATGTGTGGGTGGTACGCATGGGCGGACGTGGGTGGCATATGTAATATGCGTGGGTAATTGTTGTATATTTATGCGTAAATTTGTGTACACATTTATGATATACATTTGTATATGTACATGTGTATGTATGTATGTGTGTATGTATATGTACACATGTGTATGTATATGTATGTACATATATTAATGTTAATTTGGTTATGACCTTTTTGACTTCTGAGAGGTTAAAGAGATTATAATCAATGTAGTAGCATTGGATGACAGGTGTGATGCGGTAATAAACGAGATGAAATAGTAACGGGAATGATAATAATAATAATAATAATGATTGTCTATTGCTATTGTTTATGTTTTGTTGAGGGATATGGATGGAATAGAGGATGATAATGTGATATCCGATTACTGCTTACATTGGTACAATTTGAATAGATTCATTTCTAGGCTTAAGCTTGGGCTTGAGTTTTTATAATTAGGCATAATTGGCCTTTAATATGCCTGCTTGGCTTTTTTTTTCTTTTCTTTTAACCAATATACTATGTCAATATTTTAAGCCTGGCTTAAACTTAGACATGTCATAGGTGTAGGTATTATGGAGTATAAATGTTGTATTACATCTTTTATGCGAATAGAAATAAATGAAAGATGGAAGTAATACAGAAAAGTTACAGTAATAATTTTGAAAATTTTATGCAATGATATTGAATAGCTTAAAATGATTGTATTTAATTATAAATTAAGTCTAATTTAATTATGAATATGATTGTATTTAATTACAAATTAATTATGAAATTCCATCAAATATAATATAAATGAAAAAAAAAATTATTGAGAAATAATCCAAAAAATAACTGACAGTTTTGCTTTTTTTTTTTTCGTCAAAGTGATCTAACTCTGATTTATTTCAAATAAAAATCCAATGATCTAACTCCAATTTTTTCATTTCAAATAAATCATTGCTTTTAATTGTTGCATTTTTGCATGAAAAATCAAAATGTGATTTATACTATTGTGAAAATTTTTAGCCCAGTTAAGCATTAATTAAAAAATAATCAATCAGTCAATCATTGCCCACTTGAGGTAATGAAAAATTTTTGAAACAGCCAAATGTTAACTATGACTAATATTGCGATTGAATGATCATATATACATACCGGAAATGTGCGCAAATGCTTAAACATACACATACATACACACACACACACACACACACATACACACATACATGAAGGAATTCCCGAATAGATGGACACCAGCATGCCATCGATAACATATGGTTTGCTTGTTTGCAGTTTTATTCAAATTCAAATTTTGAAAAGATCTATCCGCTTTTGAAGATTGATTCATAAATTTTGCTAGCTTTCATGGAATGCAAATTTTTGAATAACGATTAATTTCATTTAAATTTTCACAAATTTAATTTTATTACCATCTGGTGAATGAATGAATATGTTTATTTCATTTCAACAATCTGCTAAGAGATGAAATTTTGATGATATCATTGAAAATCATTTTTCAATATTAAATTATCATTATCATTATCAACATGCAATATCTTTTATCCATTTTTTGAAATGCTTATCTGATAAGCTGATCTATTTTTTTTTTTTTTGTTATCTTATCAGTGATGAAATTTGTAAACTTTTATTTTGGCTTACAAATTTTTGTTTTACTCTTTCATCATTCTGCATATTTTTGTTACAAAACCGGTAATTAGTTTTGGTAATTAATATAGAGCAGTAATTAGTTTTCGCAAATTAATACAATTACTTGGAAGATTTCACGTTTATAATTTAACCCATCATTTTCTAGCGATTAATTTTACATTACAATTACTAATTAGTCAGTTGTTTTAATCAATTCTGTAATTAGAGGTTTAAAATTTGTTAATATGAATTTAAATAGAATTAAAAATCAATTGATTTTTTGAGGAAAAAAAAATTTGCTTTTCATTTTTGAAGTATTTTTTGCAGCATAAAACTACTTTATTATCTTTCAATAAATTTGTTAAACTCTTAATTATGCACTCATATATTTCATTTCAATCGTTACAGTTGTCACAACTGTCACCATCATGTCATTTACCTTTTGTCATCAATTGTCATTATCGTTTGTCATTTATTGCTGTTATGGTATTTAATGTTAAAAAATCGTTTGTAAATTTATTTTCTAAATACTTCTCATAATGATTAAGTTTGGGTAAGAAAAAAAAAGACGATATACCTAAGATTTAATAAAACTTTAGATTGGCAGTTTTGCTTGCATAACAGTTCACGTAGTACGTGAGTTACGTGAGAATTCGAGATATTATTGGCCGCAAAAAAAAAAAGTACCTCTATATAATCCTTAACAGTTAACAGCATCATCTTATTAGTATTACTATCATCATTTGCTAATACTATCATAATTATTACTATTTACATAATCATTGTTATTGTTATTGTCAACAATATCATTATCAGTATTATCAACTTCATCATAATTATTGTTTACATTATCATTGTCATTGTTAACAACATCATTATCACTACTATCAACATCATCAACATTCTTAATTTGTTGCCATTATCATCTCAAATTTCTGAAAATATTTGTTTGAGTAATACATTGCACAGACAAATCTTATCTTCCACGTTCCCACTCTTTACATCTTTCCCTTCCTCTCTTTGTCCCCTTCTTTCCTCTCTTCCTCCCTCCCTCCCTCCCTCTCTCTCTTTCTCTTCCTCTCTCTTTGTGTCCTTTTTTTCCACTAATCTAATCGACTTTGAAGGAAAGAAAAGCAAGCATTCAATGAACAAAATTATTCTCTCATTTTTATCCTCCTTTTCTTTTCGTTGCATCCATTCGTCGCTCCTTCACATTAATAATATGAAATTAAGCGGAACGGGACGGAGTAGAATGGAACGGAGCGGTATGGAACGGAACGGAACGGAATGAAGCGGAAATCTATCGATACTTTTGACAATTTCTTTCATTATATCATGTGATTGATACAGTGTTTTCTACTTTTTTTTTTTCCATTTTCTTCTTTTCTTTCTTACTTAATTACGCATTCATTTACACATATCCTTTACATTTTTAGTTTTATAGGATGTAAAGGTAAAAGTATTTTGTCACGTTTTTACTCCCTTCCTTCCTTCTTTCCTACCTTACTTACTTACTTTTTTACTTACTTATTTACTTACTTACTTATTTACCTATTCCCTTACAACTTTTTCTACGATATATAGTTCAAGATGTAAAATATCTTTGTTGCATAATTCAAATAAGATGAAAAATTTTGGTTATATTCAACCAAAGAATTAAGAAATTATTCAAAAAATGACAAATCATATGAATGAATTCTCGTAGTAAGATCAGATGACAAAAAATGTCATCAGAAATGTCCCATCGTTTCAAAGTGTAACATGATGTCAATTATGAATTTTATCATTCATTTACAAGTAAAATTATAATATACCGTACTTTTTTATCACAACTTTTTTTGAGCCATTTTTTTTCTACCGTATCCCAAACACTATTGCTTGCGTTGAATTTTTTGAAAGAAAAAAAAAAAAGAGGAAAAGTGTTTACTTTAAAAACATATTATTTGTTTATTTAATCTACGAAATTATATCATTTTATTTTTATTTTTATTTTTTTCAAATATTTTAATTGTAAAGTTATTTGACTAAA